TGCTCCGATGCAGGGCTTGCCGGCGTCCGGGGCGAGGTGGCTGCTGCGGTGCCCGTGGGCCCCCCGAGCGCTCGTGGCGTTCGGGTGGGAGAGCGCGCCGTTGCTGTCGGGGCAACGTGGGCTGCGGTGGCCCGGGGGGGCGGCGCGTTGGACAGCGCGGGGCGGCGGGCAGTTCGCTGAGCACCCTGCAGCCCCGCCCCGAAGCCAGGGGCAGCCGCGCGACCGCTCCACGTGGTGACGAGGCGACCAGGTGCTTGAACATCGACCACTGGCTGCAGTGGTGCGTACCCGCGTTGGAGGTCCATCTGGCGGAGCCGTCGCGTCGGCCTCTGCGGGGGGCTCTGCAGAGGCGATGCCGTGTGCAAGACGGCTCGCATTTGGCGGTGAGGCCGTGGCGATGCAGTTGCGCTGCAGCTCTTGGGGGCGGGCAGCATGGGGGCGCCGCGCTTGGTTCAGGCAGCTCGACGACCTGGGCGAGGTGGCGCGCAGGCGCATGGCGGGGCTACACTGGGCGGAGCCCCTATCATTGAAGTGTCGCCTCAAGGGGTTACTGGGGGCCGCTTTGCGTGAACCCGCAGGGGGTGGCGAACCTGGACCAGGCCCGCCTGCGCGCGACGGGGCGCAGGCCCGCCTGCGCGCGACGGGGCGCAAGACGGCGCGGGGGGCGCGCCGAGCCTCCTCAGGAGCATCGGCCGAGTGGGCGGCCTCCCGCGCGCCCCAGAGGCTACGGCCAGCGGGCACCAAAGGGGCAGCTGTGCGCGGGCGGCCTTGCGAAAGCTGTTGCAGGCCGCTTGGGGGAGGCAGCAGGTGTTGGTGGGCGTTCATCAGCAGCGGGGTCGTGCAAGGGGGCCAGCGGGCGCGGTCATCGTGTCCCTGCGAAGGTCGGAGTGGGTTTGGCCAGATTTGGATATCTTCGTCAAGCGCAAGGGCGAGATGGTGAACGTGACGGTGGCGTGCCCTGCCGACGTGGCAGCCTGGCAGCCTTGTTGCGCACTGATGTGCAGTCGGTCTTGTGGCAGCGCTGGACGGGGCAGGAGAAGCGCTCGGCGCTGGCACCTGCCCCCTTGCCGCAGCCTGCGGCGGCGCAGATGGTGGCCGGGGGTTCCCCAAAGCACGCCAAGGATGCGGACCGCAAGGTTGCGCGGTGCGGCGCGTAGACGATGAGCAAGCTATCGAAGTGCAACACCACGCCCACGGATGTCTGCTTGGGCTGTTGTGAAGCAGTGGGCACGCTGCACCGCGGGAGTTTTCAGTGCCCACGCATGCGAGAGGTGCGACTCCGCGGGCAAGCCGCGCGGCAGCATGTGGCGGGGCAGCACGTCGACGATTTGTGTTGGACGCGTGGGTCGGTGCGCGACCCCTCTGCGTAATCGTGCTTTCAGGCGGCCAATGAGGATCAGTACCGCTATGACGTTATCAAGGGTGACGACGACCAGGCGGACGATATCGTTTGCGATGGATCGACCACCGCTGAGGAAGGTCAGCCGCGTGTGTAACTGTGGGGGCCGTTGCCGTGGCAGTGCCGCGTCCAGGATGCGGTGAAGCGGGCCCGGCTCTGGGCCTTCCTGATGACGCTCGAGGTGGCGCTGCCGCCGTGCGGGATTTACACGGATCACAATGGCATTTTGGGAGGTTTGGCGCGTGGTTTGCGGTGGTGTCTCAGCTGGAAGCGTCCGCATGCTGATCTGCGACCTAGGATCTGGCATAAGCTGGTTGGCATAGGCCTGGACATCGACTGCGTGCACTACGTCGAGGGACATCGCTCCAAGACGGCCGTCGGCCAGCTGGGGGCCTGGAGAGGCAGGTCGCGCAGGGCAGCGACGCGGTGGACCTGCTGGCAAAACGGGGCGCCGAGGAGGGCCGCGGCGACGGCAAGCAGGAGATCTTGGCGGACTTGCGGGCGCGCGTGAGTTGGGCGGTGCAGAATCTGGGCTGGTGGTACCAAGAGATGAAAGGCGAGTGGCCGGACGCCCCCTCTTCGTCCGCCAGGCCAGTGGAGGTGCTGCTTTCCCAAGCCCCCGGCCAGCCTAACCTCGCGCGAGGTGGGGTAAATGGGGCGACGGCAGGTGCGCGCGCGCTGTGGCGAGAGAGCGGCCGCGGCACGCATGCGCAAGAAGCTTTGGGGAGCGGTGTGCAGGCCGCCGCCGTGGCGCTTCGTGGGTCTGGCAGTGCCCGACGAGAAGGTCGGTTCGCCGGAGGCGCGGGCGAGGCAGGCGCGGGGCGAGGTGCAGCGGGCCGCCAGGTTTACGGCTACGAGCAACACATCGGCGACAGGCGCGATGGTCGCGATGGCCGTGGACTCAGCAGCCGCAGCAGCGAGCAGCTGCAGCAGCGATGGCCCGAGCGGGCGGCGAGTGGACAGGGGCCGCTAGCCCAGGGAGGGCGAATGCCGCGCCCGCGCTGGCTGCGCCGCCCCAGAGGAGCAGGGCGAGAGAGTCAGCGCGCGGCGCAGGTCTGCGGCCCGTGCGCGGTCTGACGAGTGCGCGGGGCCCGCGCGGCGCAGCGGCGGGACGGGCTCTCGGGGGTGGGCTCGAAGCGCAAGTGGAGGGGCCGCCTTCTGCGTGGGCGGCGCCCGCAGACGGGGAAGCCGCCCCCGGCGCCGCTGGGGCCAGTCCAGCGCGGGGGCGCACGTCGTGGATGAGGTTGGCGGGCTGGCGAGCTGACGGCCCGCGTGGGGTGTTCTGAGAGCAGAGCGACGCGGGCTGACCTCCGCGCGGCCTGCGCGACAGGGGTGCTCCAGGTGGCACCCGTCGGAGTCCCTGAGGGAGCAGCGAATTATCTTGGCGACAGACCCAACCACATGCAATTGTGGGTGCCGCAATTGTGAATATCTGCTTCGTTGGAGCTCCCTATGGGGCCACGAAGCGCCGTGCTGGGTGGGTGGGTGGGGGGGGGGGGGCGCATGCGGGCGGTGGCGCTCAGGCCATCGGTGGAACTCCCAATGGAGCCACGAAGCGCTATGCTGGGTGGCGGGGGCGCATGCGGGCGGTGGCACTGGAACCTTCGGTGGAGCTCCCTATGGGGCCACGAAGCGCTGTGCTGGGTGGGGTGGGGTGGGGGGGGGGCGCATGCGGGCGGTGGCAGTGGGGCCTCCTGTGGAGCTCCCAACGGGGCCACGAAACGCTGTGCTGTGTGGGGGGGAGCGCGTGCGAGAATCCCTTTTCGGAGGCCTCTTGGAGCGCTTTTGGGCCGATCGCAGGCGTCATTGGCTCAGTTGTTGGGGGCCTCTTGGGCACCTCCTGGGCCTCTCTTCGCCATCTTCTGGGCCATCTTGCGGCTTCAGAAGCGCATCGGAAGCGAAAATGCGAGAAGGCAAACATCATTGACCATTGGTTTCCCTTAGGTTTTTGAAGGGTGATGGGCTTTTGGGGGGGTTTGGATGGGTTCTCCGAGAGCAGTCGGGACCATCTTATAGCCCTCGACAGGCCCCTGGGAGGTCTCTCTCCGTCAGCTATCTTGAGCCATCTTCGATTATCTCGAGCCACCTTGCAAGCCACCTTGGAGCATGTGGGGCCCTCTCTGAGCCATCTTTGGCCATTCTGGGCGCCCTGAGCGGTTGCGGCCCGCCCCAGAGAACTTCCGGGAGGGCAGGGGAGGGTGCCCCTCCCCGAATGGAAAGGGTTCTGGAAGAGGAGAGAGGACTTATTAGACCACCTTAGCCCACAGGGCTGGTGGGAATTCGTAAGTACATCACGCCGCATCACCGATGCAGCACCAGTGCAGCGCGATCTGGAGTTCGATTGGTTCGTCACAACGTCGCCGATCCATCGACGATGCGGCGCGATCTGGAACCGATGCCGCATCACTGGAGCATCGTGGATACATCGGCGACGCGGAGTTATTGTCGCCGGCCCCATGTAGCAATCTTTATCAGTCTCTTCTGCCTGAAGGTTCCACGATTTCCACCTTCAATCCCCCCACTCACCTCTCCTCGGCCCCTCCCTTCGATCTTCTCCACACCCTCCCTCCCTCCCTATTCCCCCCTTTGTCTGTTCTTCGCTTTGGCATGAAAGGGACAGGTGTTGGCGGATACTGGACCCGTTTTTTTTTTCCATCCTGAGCTGTTCCTTGATAGTCCCAGGGCGCGGAGAGGGCCCCGTGAGGGCTCAAGCGGCGACGCAGCTCAGGACCCTGGGGGAGGAGGGGTCCCGAGTCAGGGCCCGTTCTCCCTCGGGGCCCGCCCCTGTTCGTGGCGATCCCATCCCGCCACCCGCTCTTCTTTCAGGTACGCCGCAGGCAGGCGCGCCGCGCTTTGCGCCGCCCTTCCTCCTTCTCAAACGGCTCGGGATGAGAAACACGGGTCCACGGGAAGAGGCCCAAACTTTGGGGAGCCGCGTTGCGCCACAATTACGACGTGGGACACCTGGAATGCTCCCAGCGCCCGCCACCGCTCCCGTGCCATCCGCCTGCCAAGGTAAGCTTCGGTCAAACATCGTTTCAAGATGGACTCAGGTGGTCTCTGGCTCCAACGCCCGATGCCGCTGCCGCGCCCGTGCCAGTCACCCGGTCAAGGCCAATTGCGGGACGCTTCGAGCCCCCCTCGCGGGGCGCAGAAATTTGCCGAGCGGAAGAGTCAGACGCGGCGATCTCTATGATCAACGCCGGGGTAAACCAGCTGAAGCAGGAGGGCCGAGGGCAGCGAAACAACAAAGACGAAGAACGCCGACATCTAGCCTCCTCTCGGCCCCTCGCGCTTCCCTCCAGCCTGATCGTTCCCTCTATCCGCCGACGCCGCCCTCGTCGCTTCGTCGCCTTCGTCGTCGCCGTCGCCGACGTCTGGGCCGTCGTCGTCGGCGTAGCCGTCGACGTCGCCGTCTTGCATCGTCGTCGTCATCGTCGTCGTCTTCGTCGTCGCTGTCGTCGTCGTTGTCGTCCTCGTCGTCGTCGTCGTCGTCGCTTATCCCCGATCGCTGTTGCCATCGCCGCCGCAACCGGTCATCGATTGTCGTCGATCGAGGCCGTCGTCGTCTACGATGTCGTCCGGCGGCGCCCCGGCACAGGCGGGTTTGCGGGTCTGCGGCGCCTGGCAAGGGCCCCGACGGTGCCGCGGGGCCTGTTCGCCGCCTCTGGGGGGTGGCGGGGGAGCGGGGGAGGGGGTCAAACTAGGTGCGCTTGTGCCCGCGGACGCGTGTCATAGCCGACCTGAGATTCCCACAGAAAGACCACTTCGCGTTATGTGCAATCGGAAAAAGGGGAGCTGCGTGCACAGGAGGAGGAGGAGGATGAGGAGGAGGAGGAGGAGGAGGAGGAGGAGGAGGTGGTGGTGGGGGGTGATTCGAACAACAGCAGCAGGAACTAGAGCAGGCGGATCGGGAGGAGAAGGATGACCAGGGGAAGGCGGAGGAGGGGATTCGACGGGGCGACGACGATGAAGCAAGACTCGGATTCAGAAAGGTCGCCCGCGCTGGGGCGAGACAATCAGCAGCGACAGGAACTGGAGTGGAAGGAGCGGGGGGAACAGGAGGACCAGGGGAAGGCGGCTGAGGGGAACTCAGGGGGGGACCACAATGAAGCAAGACTCGGAACCAGAAAGTGGCCCGCGCTTTGACGAGAGCGCCATCCTGAATGACGAGAGCAATGCGCCGATCCGAGAATGAGGCGCACGCTGCAGCGGGAACACCATTTTGAAGCACCGAACATATTCGAATTGCACATAACCATAAGATAATCAATGTTTGAGATCCGGCTTGTACAAAACAGCACGCGGAGTGGGCGGGAGATCTTCCGGACAAGTTCAGTGCAGAAGGGAGAGTAGTATTCATATTGCTTACTTGTGGCGGGAGGGAGAGTGAGGAAGATGTGACGATGAGAGGGATGGGAGGAGGAGGAGGAGGAGGAGGAGGAGGAGAAAGAGGAGGAGGAGGAGGAGGAGGAGGAGGAGGAGGAGGAGGAGGAGGGGGGAGGAGGGAGGAGCGCGAGCAGGTGAGGGAATCAGCCTCCTTCCTCCCTTCTTGCCTGCCTCATCCCTCCTCCACGTCTCTTCCTCCCTTCCCTCCCTTCCTACCCCCTCCCATCCTCCGTCCTCCTTCTTCTCCTTCTCCTCCTCCCCCTTCATCCATCTTCGCCTCTCTTCCTTTTTTTCTGTAGGTCCAGATAGGACATTGGTGCCGAAACTCCAGGCACGGAACGGCCAGTTATGCGCAACAGCCCCCAGAATTGTTGGAGGTCCGGCCGCGGACAATCGCCCAGCGCGTGCCCTACCCCACGGGGCCGGGTCTTCCAAGTGGGAGACGATTGTGCGGGCACCCCAGGCACCGGCGTTGGCAGTGTTTTGTGTGATGAGGACGCCCAGAGTCCTCTTTCCTCCTCCTCCTCCCCCTCCTCCTCCTCCTCCTCCTCCTCTTCCTCCTCCTCCTCCTCCTCCCCCTCCTCCTCCCTCCTCCTTCATCCCACTCGACCGCTCTCGTGCCGAGTTTTGACCCTGACCCCTGGTGGTTTTATCCTCGAACTTCGATGATCGAGATTTTTTGACGCGGCGTCCTTGTTATAACCTCCTAGAAACTCCTCGTCACCACGGCTGGATCCGCCTTGAAATTCTAGTCAAAGTGCATCCCAGGCGGGGTCAAGGAGGGGTAGCGTTTTGAGGGAGGAGGGCCCAGACCTCTGCTGGACTGATCTGTTGAATCCTGGCGTTTCTCCGTGATGCGGCCTCGAGGGGCTCTTTCCGGATCCTGGCCTCATCTGAAAACGATCCAGGACCCTGAAACAACTCCAGGGGAAGGGGTAGAGATCCATAAGATCAGGGGGGTCGCTGAGCGTGTATCTTCCGATCGCATGGTCTATACGCTGAACCAAACACGGTTTAGCGTGTATTTGCTGTCGTTCAGCGTGTATTCATGTCCGTGTAACCCTTTCGTTTAGCGTGTGCCCACGCTCCGTGGCACCACCCTCCCTCTCTCCTCCCCTCCTCTTGGACCTCGTCCTCATCGTCATTCTCAATCCCACTCGCTATACTCGAGCATCGACTGGCGGGTCGGCCGCACCCCTCGCCAGATCACGATACTGGCGCCAGGGCACCCACTGGAGGGAGGGAGGGTCAGGGAGCAGCGGTTCCCTCACTCGCCCCTCCTTGTCGCCCCGCACCCCGCCCGGTGCAACCTGCACCTCCGCCAACATGTTTTTTAGTCCGCCCGAGAAGCAGGCGCCGAACTAGCTCAGGATGGCCTTGACAACCGCCAGGGACGGCCCAAGAGGGTCCCGAGAAGAGAGTTGCGCGATAGCCCAAGGGAGCCCTAGAGAGGCTTAATCACAACATCCCAGACATGAGAGACCGAGGGGAGGGTGGGGGACATGTCGCGCTGCACTGGCCTGGGATCCAGCCTTGGGGGGCTCTCATGAAGCTTCCAGCCCATGCCGGGATGGCCCAAAGCGACTCCAAGAGGTCTTTCCGAGGCTCGAGCAGAGGCTCCGATCGCCAATATGACCCAGAACGGCCCCAATTTCCGCCCAGAACGTGCCGAGGGGGCCCAAATATAGTTTCACGATAGCTGAAGAGGGCCTGCAGTGTGGCCAGGAACGGCCCAAGGAAGGTTCAAGATGGCCCAGGGAGCGCCAAGCTGGCCCAGGATGGCCTTGACGAAGGCTCCGATCGCCTAGACCACCCAGGATCGCCAACATTTCAGCCCAGAACGGCCAGAGAGACTCAAAGAGAACCTCACAATAGCTGAAGAGGGCTTGTGGCCAGGGACGGCCCAACAAGTGCCCAGCACGGTCCAAGGAGCGCCAAGCTGGCCCAAGATGGCCTTGACAGCCGCTCAGGACGGCCCAAGCGGGCTTCAAGAAACGGCACGCATGTGCACGCTTCAGGGCGGGGAATGGTCGCGATTTTCTTCGGCCCTCGTATAGCGTGTGCCGTTGTTCGGCCCCTGTTCAAAAACGTTTACCGAGTCCCACTGCTTTTTGTGTCGTGGCTTCGTTTCGCGTGCAGTGTTGGCTTGTTGCCCTTCGTTTAGCGTTTATGGCTTCCCTATATCTTGAGTGCGGGGCTATTATTATTGTAGTGGCCTCCGGCCAGTGTCGCCGATCCGGGGCGCTCCGGATGATGATGATGATGATGATGATGATGATGATGATGATGATGATGATGATGATGATGATGATGATGATGATGATGATTGATGATGATGATGATTGATAATGCATCCCTGACTCCATGAGATGATGCTGATCTGATGCTGATGCTGATGCTTATGCTGATGCTGATGCCTGATGCTGATGCTGATGCGGATGACGATGACGACGACGACTACGACGACGACGAAGAAGACGACGCAACGGACGACACAGGCGACGACGACGACGACGACGACGACGACGACGACGACGACGACGACGACGACCGACACGACGACGACGACGACGACGACGAGAATGATGATGATGATGTGATGATGATGAATGATGATGTGATGATGATGATGAGATGAGATGATGATGATGATGGTGGTGGTGGTGTGGTTGGAGGTTGTTGTGGTGGTGGTGTGGCTGATGCTGATGGCTGATGCTTATGGCTGATGCTGATGCTGATGCTGATGCTGATGCTGATGCTGATGATGATGATGATGATGATGATGATGATGATGATGATGATGATGATGATGATGGTGGTGATGTGACGATGGTGATTGGTGATGGTGTTGGAGATGGTGATGATCCCGGCCCCCCCCCCTCCAACCCCTCTCCTCTCTCCTGTCCCCCCCCTTTCTGCCATTCTCCGTGTCCCGCCCCCCCTCTCTCCTTTCCCCTCCCCTCCCCACCTCTCTCCTGTCCCCCCCCCATTCTCTCCCTGTCCCCCCCTTTCTTTTTCCCCCCTCTCTCCTGTCCCCCCCCTCCTCTCTCCTGTCCCCCCCCCCTCTCTCCTGTCCCTCTTCTCCTGTCCCCCCCCTCTCTCTCCTGTCCCCCCCCCTCTCTACAATTACTCAATATGAAAATACTCTCCCTCTTCCCCTGATGGCGTCCGGGTGATGGCCGCGCACCCTCCGCGTACTATTTTTTTACACACAGGATTCCCGGGAAATCCCGGAAAACGACTCGCTGAGGCGCCGGCGTCATTTTTTCCCAAAATGCTTCTCTCGTTGAGGCGCCGGCCTCATTTCTGCTCCCGAATCGTTCCGAATCGTGCTCCCGCTGCAGCGTGGGCCTCATTTTCGGATCGGTGTTTGGCCTCCGTCGTTCAGGATGGCGTTCTCGCCCCAGCGCGGGCCTTTTTCTCGCGCGCCCATCCGCCCGCCACCACCGCGCCGCACCACCACCACCACCACCACCACCACCACCACCACCACCACCACCACCACCACCACCACCACCACCACCACCACCCACCACCACACCAGCACCAGTACCACCACCACCACCAGCACCACCAGCACACCACCACACCCACCACCACCACCACCACCACCACCACCACCACCACCACCACCACCACCACCACCACCACCACCACCACCACCACCACCACCACCACGACAACCACGCACACACGCACGCACGCACGCACGTGCACCACCACCCACTACGCACGCGCGCGCGGAGCCACAGGTCCGCTACGACACGCGTCCGCGGATAGAGAAAATCAGCGCCATGGTAAGGGATGGGAGGGAGGGGTAGGACGTCAGATATGACGCGAGCGCACCTAGCTTGCCTGTCCCCCCTCCCCTCTCTCCTTCCCCCCCCCCCTCTCTCCTGTCCCCCCCCCCTCTCCTCTCTCCTCCCCCCCCCCCTCTCTCCTGTCCCCCCCCCCCTCCCCCCCCCCCCCCCTCTCCCCCCCCTCTCTCCTGGCCCCACCCCCCTTCCTCTCTCCTGTCCCCCCCCGCTCTCTCCTGTCCACCCCCCCTCTATCCTTTCCCATCCCCTGCCCCCTCCCTCTCTCCTGTCCAGGGCGCAGTGCAGGGGGGGGGGTGCTGGGGGAAAGATAAGGTGCACAGGCGGGGGGGGTGCAGGAAGAGAGGGGGGGCGGAGAGGAGATTGCAGGGGAAGGGGGGGGGCGTAGGAAGAGAGTGGGGGGGCGCGGGAGAGGAAGGTGCAGAGGGGGGGGGCGGTCCCGGCATTGGGGAGGCCTTGCGTGTCAATTTTTTCGTCGTATGCGTCTCCCCCCCTTTGCAGAGCGAAGCTTGAGCGAGCTCAAGCCCACGCTCTCAGAAACTCACACGCCGGATCGGCGGATTATTGTTTGGCTTACGCCTCACCGCCGACCCCTTGGGGGAGAGTCGCTGTTGCGGCTTCTGAGTGCTGCTTGACTTATGCTTCTTTTTATACCTAGTGGCCTTCGGTCCATCCCGCGACCATGCCTGGTTTGTGGTTCAGAGGCCTCTTGGATGTTCGTTGGGATCTCGTGAGAAACCTCTCGGGGGCCTGCCCGAGGCAGTTTGGAGGCCTCTGGGTGGAATGTTTTGGAGCCTCTTGGGGCCTCTTTTGGGCCTCTTGGAGGTCTCTCGGGGGCCTCTTGGGGTCTCCCGGGGGCCTCTTCTGGCAGAAAGCTTAGCTTTTCGGTTCGTGGTCCCCTTCTTGGGCCCCTCTTGGGCCCCTCTTGGGCTGTCTTGGGGCCCTTTTGGGCCGTCTTTGAGCTCTCTTTGGGCGTCTTGGGGTCTTCTTGGGGGCCTCTTGGGCCGTCTTATGGCGGTTATGGGAGCCTCCTGTGCCGTCTTCGAGCGTCGGAAGCCAGAAAAGGCGAGAAGGTCATCTTCTATACATCAAAAACACAGACGTGCGCATATGTATGTTTGTATGTATGTATGTATGTATGTATGTCTGTCTGTCTGTCTGTCTGTCTGTATGTCTGTATGTCTGTATGTCTGTATGTCTGTATGTCTGCCTGTCTGCCTGTCTGCCTGTCTGCCTGTCTGCCTGCCTGCCTGCCTGTCTGTCTGTCTGTCTGTCTGTCTGTCTGTATGTATGTATGTATGTATATATATGTATATGTACATATGTATATATGTATATATGTATGTATATACATATATATATATATATATATGAGCAAACATCGTAGAACACCGATGTGAGCCTCTTGGGGCCCTCGTGGCAGGCCTCTTCGAAGGCTCTTGGGGAATCTTGGAGGCATCTTGGGCTGTCTAGAAGCCATCTTGGGCGTCTTGGGACGATGTTTCGGCGACTCGGGGCCCTCTTGGACCGTCTGGGAGGTCTCTTGGGGCCCTCGTGGCCCGTTCGACCCTCGATGCCTTCCCGGCAGAATTTCTGCTGCAACGTCCCTTCCCCCGCCGGCCCGACCCGGCCGGCCCTGGCCGCCCTTGGTAGACCCCCCCACCCCCTCCAAATCGACCCGATCTGGCTCCTTGGGGAGGAGGAAGCATCTCACACGCCAAGGGGTCGGCGGATTGGGGCGCCTCCACCTCCTCATTTACTCCCGCTTCATTTGTTTGTTCCCCCCCTCTCTGACAGACAGATCACGCTCAGACCACTTAACTCAGAGTCACTAGCACTCAGATGAACTCACACTCAGACCCACTGACACGGAGACACATTCGTTCTCAGACTCACTCACACTCAATGCCACTCTCCCCACTCATACTCAGCAACGTCACTCATACACATATCATCCATGCAATCAGAGACCCATGCTCTTCACGATTTCTCAGGCATGGTATCTGAGCATCTCAAGGAGGAGCCGCCAGGGGTGGGGACGTCTGCACTGTCGCGCCCAGATCGTGCGGATGTCTCAGGCGGTCTGCCTGCTTGCTTGATCCGACTTCTCTCTGTTCAGAGCCACATGCTCATCGCGATGGCGCAGGCGCGGCCTGCGAACACCTCAAGGAGAACCCGCCAGCGGTGGGGACATTAGCATATTCGCATACAGATTGTGGGGATGCTTCATGTGGTTTGCCTATTTGGTTGATCCGATTTCTCTCTTTCCACCCCATTCTCACAGCGATGTAGCAGGCGTGGTATTTGAGCATTTCGAGGAGAAGCCGCGAGGGGTGGGGGCGTTTGCCCGTTTGTGCCCAGAGTGTCAGGATGTCTTAGGCGGTTTGTCTGTTTGGTTGATCAGACTTCTCCCTTTTCAGGTCCCCTTGCTCATCGCGATGTCGCAGGCGCGGCCTTTGAGCACCTCGAGGAGGAACTGCCGGGGGCGGGGACATCTGCCGGTCGTGCCCAGATTGTGGGGATGTCGCAGGCGGTTTGCCTGCTTGGTTGATCGGACTTCTCCCTTCTCGAAGCCCATGCGCTCCCGCTCAGACTCGCTGGTGCCCTGTCTTCGTCCTGCATTCCACAGTGCGTCCACATTGTCGCGAGCGTGCGCCTGGCTGCTCCCCGGGGCACGTACGCGCGCGCCCTCTCAGACACGTCACACCTGGCACCAGAGAGCAGCGCAAACTGTTGTGAGGCAGCACTGGGCGGGGCAGAGCCGCAAGGGCTGGTAGGGAGGGTCGCTGGCTCTCGGACTTGCGCGCACGCGCAGTCTCGCTCATGTTCAGACACTCGTGCAACATGAGATGTAGGCATGCTGTGCGAGGAAGCCAACACTCGAGCCACATCTACGAACCGATCGTCATTACCACCATCACCACACATCGCATGCGTGGCACGATTGCCCGCGCTTCAGGGCCCCCCCAGGCCCTTCCCTCTTTAATCTTGGCGTTGAGCAGCCTCGCGGAGGACTTTGCGTCCACAGGCATCTAAGTGAGTCTCTGACGGCGGGGCCCGCGACGTCCGCTCCTTTGCAATACTCATGGTGATATGGCACGGAGGCGAAACCTGGCCATCGCCCAATGGCCATATCAACATAAAATATGGGGGGTATAGGGGTGCTCCAGGCTTGAGCGGCACGTGAACTAATACCGCGGCACGTGAACTAATCCAGCTTGTGCGGTGGTTTGAATCCACTTCCGATACCGTGTGAGTCCCAAGGCAATCTCGCCTTACCAGGCAAAACACTTGGGCACTCCAATGGGAAACCGCCAGGGAACGCGCAGTCGCAACAGAATAATTACGGTCTTGTAAGCCACTCACAGACGGGAGCGGCAGGATCTGAGATGCACATGTGGGCGCCTCCGCGTCGAATACTTGTCGTCGATGGGCCTGGGCAGGGGTGGATTCACGCTACACGACCCTCCCCCTTGACCGTAGAAGGAAGAAACAGTAGCGACGTCCGAGTCTCAAAAGCAGGCGACGCTTGAGGAGGAGTGGCGACCAATTCGCGAAGGCACGGTGGAGGAGACAGGGCATCGACCGTCGCGGCGACACTCCCCTCAGCCATGAGTCCTGACGATGAAAGACGAGGCGACCGACGACCGACGACCGACGATCGACGACCGTTTTCGACGACATCGTCGTAGTCCGCGGTCGTCCTCGTCCGTCGTCGTCGTCGTCGTCGTCGTCGTCGTCGTCGTCGTCGGCGTCGGCGTCTGCGTCGTCGGCGTCGTCGACCGTCGCCGTCCTGTGGTCGTCGTGTATCGTCGTCCGTCGTTATCGTCGTTTTGCTTCTTGTTGTCTCCGTCCTCCGTCGTCGTCGTATCATTATCGTCGTCCGCCGTTGTCGTCGTTTTGTTCATAGTCGTCATCGTCGTCGTCGTCGTCGTCGTCGTCGTCGTCGCTCGTCCGCCGTTCTCGCGGGGGCGGCTGCGGCTGCGGCGGCTGCGACTACGGGCCGCGGCGACGACGCCGTCCGCCGCCGCCGCCGCACCGAGCCGCGACGACGCCGTGCACCGCCGGGCGCGAACCGCCCGACCCCGCAGGCCGTGGCCCGGCAAGTCAGCAAAAAGGCCCCGCGCCCGCCACCCGCGCCGCCTCGGTGTGGCCCCTCCGGCGGGCCTCCGGCGGGCCACCGGCGCATTTCCACGCCTCCGGAGGCCTGCTGGGACTTCCTCGCGGGGACCTCCCATGGCCTCCTGGAGACCTCCAGATCCGATGCCGTCGGGGACATCCAGAGGTTTCCGCGGGGACCCTCAGAAACACTTGGCCGGAGACCTCTGGAGGCCATCGACGGCCTTCGGAGGCCCCTCTGCAGCCCTTCCGCAGCCTTCGGCGGCTTAGGCAGCGGAGAAGGAGGGCGGCGGCAGCGGTGGCGGCGCAATGATCGTCCTCGTCGCCGTCGTTGATTGGCGCGTCGATCGTGCGTCGGTCGTCGTCGCCGTTGCCGTCGTCGATGATGTCGACGGTGTCGTCGATCGTCTCCGATTGTCTTCGGTCGTCATCGTCTTCGATCGTCGTCGACAGTGATCGTGGTCCATCGTTGCCAGCGTCATGTCTGTCGTCGTTGTCGTCGTCGTCGTCGTCGGTCGTGCTCGTCGTCGTATGTAGCGTGTGTTGATCGTCGTCGACCGTCGCCGCAGTCGCCGTCGTCCTCGACAGTCACTGTTGCTGCCGTCGTCGGTCGTCGGCGTTCTCGTGGTGCTGCTTTGTCGTCGTCGGTCGTCGTCACCGCCGCTGTTGGTCGGCGTCGTCGGTCTTCGTCGTCGTCGGTCGTCGTCGTTGTCGTCGTCGTGGAGGTCGTCGGTGACAGCTGCGGCGACGACTACGACACGACAACTGCGACACGACGACTGCGACACGACGACTCGATGTTGACGATGGCGACGTCGAAAGCGACGACGATTTCGACAACGACGACGACGGTAACAACATGCACTGCCACGTTTGCGCAAAACTTGTCTACGCAGTGAGCACCATGGCCAGTCTTTCGAGTTGCTCGCAGCCGTGGCCATGAAGGCCTCCTTTTTGGACCAATAAGCGCGATGAAGGTCAGGGTCCTCCCTCCCTCCTGGTCCTGAGGTCCATCCATCCCTCACTCCCCCCTTCTGAGATCCCTGCCTCCCTCCCGTCCCTCCCTCCGTCCTCTCTGCTTCCCTCCTCCCTTCTTCCCTTCCTACCCTCCCCACTCCCTCCTGAGTTCCCTGCCAGCGGGACAGCGCGCCTGGACCCGTCGCCGTGGTGGCGGTGGCCCGTAGGCCCGAAGGGGTGGTGGTGGTGCCCGTCACGGGGCGGTCACACCGCCGCCCCTGCGGACCCAACACCCGAAGAGGTCCGCCTGGGCCTAGAGGTGTCCGTTCCTCCTCCTCTCCTCCCTCCTGAGGTCCTCGCCTCCCTCCCTCCCTCGCTTCCTCACAGTCATTAGATGTGAATGCCCCCCCCCAGCTAATGTGGACTAATTACCCATCTAACGTCACCCGGATCTCGGTGACACCGAGCCTGGCCCGCGCGAAGTGAGCGTGACACCTGCATTTTGGCGACGCGCTTCTCTCGGAATGGTGCTCCGGGCTGTGCGTCGGCCACATCTCTGATTGAAAACGTCGCTGTCGTCTTGGCGCCGGCGACATTCTTCGTTGAGTATGTCGTTCTCGCCTTGTCGCCAGCTAAATGTCTGATTGGGAATGCTGGTGTCGCCTAAGCGCCAGTGACATCTTGAAGTAAGCATGTCGCTCTCGCCTTGGCGGCGGCCACATGTCTCATTGAAGATATTGCTATCGCCTAGGCGCTGGTGACCTCCTTCATTGAGCATGTCGTTCTCGCCCTGGCGCTGGCCACATGTCTGATTGAACATGTTGCTGTCGCGTAGATGAGCGGCATCCTTCATTGAGCATGTCGTTCTGGCCTTGATGCCAGCCACATATGAAGCATGTGTCTAGGCCTCCTAGATGGGGTCCGAGTGGATGGTGTCGGAGGATCGCGTCAGTGCAACGGCGATACATCGGCGATGCGGCTCTATGTGGAGTCCGATTCTCTCCACGCCGTCGTCGACGATGCATCGCGGACGTCGCCGATGCATCGCTGATGCATCGGCGATGCATCGACGATGCATTGGCGATGCGGCGTGACCCTCCAACCCCATCTTTTCGGACCCCATCTAGGAGGCCTCTAATGTTATTCTCACTGTGGCGCCGGCCACATCTCTGATTAAACATTGCGTTTTCACTTAGGCGCTGGCCGTCCGCATGATTGCGATTGTTATTCTATTCTCAACGCGGGCCGCACTCTCGATTCGGAATGCTGCTTTGGCCTAGGCGCTGGCCGCGTGCATGATTGCGATTGTTGTTCTCGCCTCAGCGCTGGCCGCGCTCTCGCCTGGCGCTGGCCGCAGACATAATTGCGAAGCTGTTATCGCCTCTGCCGCCTCGGCGCTGGCCGCACTCTTGATTGCGAACGCCGTTCTCGCCACAGGGGAAGACGCAGCCTCACAAGCTTTTGGGCTCCGCGAGCTCCTGGATCGCGCCCCCATCCGCGGCCAGCTCGGCGCCAGGGTTGCGCTTCTGCTGCTGCGTGTTGTGCTACTTCTTATCGTAGTGCTGGTCACACTGGTGCTGCTGATACCGCTAGTCGTGCTGCGCATGGTTCTGCTGCTTGGCGTCACGCTGGTCACAGTGGATATGTTTCCAGCGATGCTGCTCACACTGGTACTCCTCGTTGCGCTTGTGCGCTTGTGCTGGTGGTCGTAGTGTAGCTGTTTCCCCACGGGCTCGTCACAGTGGTGCTGCTTATGGCGGCTTCTCAACCTTTGAATCGCGCAGCAGTTTTGTGGGTGGGAAATTTACGAGGGACTGTAGCCGAAGAGGGGTGTTCCAAGCACACACCCAGTCTTGCCTCAAAGGGTGGCTGCGGTTGTGCTGCTTTATGCCGCTGCTGCTGGCCCTCGCCGTGTCGTCGTCGTGTCCGTCCAGTCTGTCCCTTCCGTCCAGTCCTGGTTGCCCTGGCCGGTGGCGGACGCTTTCTCCCAAGCTACGGGGAGAGTGTCCGTGCGGCCTAGGCTGCCTGCGGGCAGCCCTCTGCTGGGCAGCCCTCTGCTGGGCAGCAGGAAAGCAGGGCGTTCGGAACGGCGCCCCAGGGTTGCATGCCATTGGTCACATGGCTGTGCGGCCCGGCTTGGTGGTGGAGCCCCAAGAGCGGCTCAGCCACGCAGTAGGATACATGTCTTCGGCATTGGGACGTTGTTTCCCTTCGTGTTGGTAACAGAGGTGCTGCTTGAGGCGCTGGTGTTGCTGCTTCGCGTAGTGCTGCTACCTTTGGTGATGCTCATCATACTGGTATTGCTCGTTGCGCTTGTGCTGGCGTTACCGTTTCCAGTCCTGCTGGACACAGTGGTGCTGCTGGTGGCGTTGGGTGTGCTGCGCGAGGTGCTGTTGCTTCCCGTCCTGCTGGTCACGCTGTTGCCGCTCGTGCTGCTGCGCTTGGTGCTGCTGGATCCCGTCGTGCTGGTCATAGTGGTACTGCTGGTTTTGCTTGTGCTGCTTGTTACCGTTGTGCTGGTCAAGGTGGCGCAGCTGGCTGCGCTAGTGCTGGTGAGCGCGGTGCTGCTCTTTCATGCCGTGTTGGTCGCGCTAGTGCTGTTGGTGGCGCTAGTAGTGCTGTGCGTGTCGTTGCTGCTCGCTGGTGGGGCTGCAGATGTCGTGCTGGTCGCACTGGTGCTGTTGGTGGCGCTGGTGCTGTTGCGCGTAGTGGCGCTAGTCTCTGTCGTGCGATTCATAGAAGCATTGCTGGTGGCGCCGCTGCTGTTGCAAGTGATGCCGATGCTTCCTGCCGTGCTGGTCACAATGGAATTCCTCGTTGTGCTCGCGCTGCTCCTGCTTCACGCCCGACGTGTTGCGGCTCGTCCTGCGCACCTCTGCTTTCAGGCGTCCCCGGTGTCCAGCGCAAAATTGAACGATCTTGGCCATAACGCTTTGCGCCGGAGTGCAGGAGCGCCCTCTCCTCCGCTGGCCTGGCCGGCGGATGGGGGTGGGTGCGCTCGTGTGCTCCAGCGCGAGTCGCCTGTCTTCCCGTCGTGCTCGTTCTAGTGAAACTACTGGTGGCGCTTGTACTGCGTCGCGTGGTGGTGCTGCTTCCCGTCGTGCTGCTGATAGTGATGGTGCTGGTGGCTCTGGTGCTGCTGTGCGCTTTTGTGCTGGATCCTGCCGTACTCATTACAGTAGTGCTGCTCGTTGCGCTTGCGCTAATGCGCGTAGCGCTGCTGATTCCCGTCGTGCTGGTCACACTGGCATTGCTGGTGGCTTTTGTGCTGCTTCGCGTGGCGCTGCTGCTTTCAGTCGTGCTTGTCACACTGGTTCTTCTTTGGCGTTGGTGCTGTTGCTCGCTGTGCCACTGATAGCTGTTGTGCTGGTCACTGTCGTGCTGCTAGTGTCGCTAGTGCTGGTGCGCGTGGCGCTGCTGATTTCCGTTGAAAGTCTTCTGCTGGTTCCGACTCCGGCTCCCATCTCTCCGACTCCAGCCCTGGCTCCGGCTCCCTACTTGACGACTCCATTTCCCGTCCATCTTTACGACTCCGTTTCCAATTTCGGCCCCACTTCTCCGATTCCAGTTCCGATTCCAGCTCCCTGGTTTCCGACTCCAGCGCCCGTCCCATCTCTCCGGCCCAACTCCAGCTCCCGCCTCTCCGTTTCCAGCTCCCATCCCGCCTCCCCGACCCGGCTCCGATTCCAGCTCCCGTCTTTTCGACTCCGGCTCACGATCCTGATTATTTATGTTGGCGGAATGGTTGAAGGTATTTTGCAGGTTCAGACTCCGGCTCGTATTTGTTTTTCTGACTCTTGGTCCCTTCCATCTCTCCGTCCAGCAAGTGCAAGAGGCGGGCCCCAGCCCACCCGCGTTGCCCCCAAGGGGCCTGCTGGCCGACCGGCCGGCGGACTCGGCGCGTTCGTTCGTTCGTTCGTCACATACGTAGGTAATACTGTGGCATTGGTGTTGCTGCGCGTTGTGTTACTGCTTGCTGTCGTGCTGGTCACAGTGGTGCTGCTGGTGGCGTTGATGTGGCTTTGCGTGGTGTTGCTGCTTC